ATTTTTTTGTTTGTTTTCTTCGATTTTTTTGTATCTCACTGGGATTTATAATCTAATTTACAATATATATCTGTAACATGGACTCCAGACATAAAATTAAATAAAACAGGAAGATAATAATAAAACATTTTCTCATATAATTTTAAATGGATTTTAAAGGCTTCATGTTTTCCATTTTCTTTAAAATGTGCTTAAACTAAATAAAATTAATCAAATTATACAATTTAACTTGTTGCTTCTGTAATAGAGAGATAATTTCGCATAAGAGGGAATAAATTAACCAAACAATTTAAAGGGTTAAAGACATGAAAAGAAATGAGAGATGCTGAAGAACATCTGGGATTTTTAATCTCAGGCTGGATGGTGTTAAAATTAATGAAAAATATGATTTTAAAATGAGTCTGAGTTTATGTGAGGGAAAGGAAAATGCTGCCCAGAGAAGTCAAGTCTGCACATGTTGAAGTGAACCTGAACTAGAAGCTGCAGGACCGCCTGGAAGCTTCACATTCATAACGTTGAAATAGAAAAACTATTTCTGATGTTATTGGTTATTCACATGGAGGGTAAAGGTGTTTCCTGACCTGGAAGAGCCAGTGGAAGGTCTCCCCGACCAGCGGCCAGCCCATGGAGCCCCTCGGCAGCGGCAGGCTGCTCTCCTTGTCCCGGGTCAGGCTCCAGCGGAGGCTCCACAGCTGCCGGGTCAGAACCAGCAGCAGGAGCGCAGACAGCAGCGAGGTGAGCGCGGTGGCCAGAGCCGACAGCACCCCGAACTGGACCAGAGGAAACATCTCCAACTCAGCATCCACCTGCGAGCGAGCGCGCGCTTAGGGGCCGGTGCGTCACACGGCGGGATTCAATGTCCCCAAAATTAGACTAAAAATGGAACAAATTACAATTTAATTAATGTATTATTTTAATTAAAAAAAAAGTGAAATAAGACAGAAAATTCCTCTAAACTCTGTTTGAACTCTGCTGCGCAGGAGACACAACAAGCTGCGCACATTCCTCTCCACAGCAACGTTTCCTGATTCATTCAGCCAAACTGAGAGGAAAATCAGGTCACTTAATTTTAATTTTTTTTAAACCAGAGCAGAATATTCTCATTAAAATAAAGTTTGTCTCCTGCGGGTCTAATTATAGAGGAAGGTTCCTGCTCTTCCAGAGGAGAGGATCTGCGCCCACCTGCGCGGTGCGCCTCCTCTGCGGGGGGAACCAGGAGCTGTCAGCTATTCCAAACACTTTTACAGGTCTGCCTGCGCCGGCTTGTCCATAATGCTGTGCGCCTTTATAGGTACAGTTTGGGGGCTCAGCCACCCCCACCCCCCCAGGCAGACCGGGTTTTATAGAGAAGTGATTGATCTGATTTAAAAGCTGCTCCAAAAATGTTTGTTTGAATTAGGATTAAATTATTCTAAAGGAACATAAAGTTTAGTTTAATTCCTAAATGTTTAGAAGCAGTTTTGGACCCCCCCCCCCTCCGGACCTGATCCAAAGGGCTTACCTCTAACACTGTTCCTCTGCAGACCCGTGAATCCGCTCTCTTTCCTGCCTCTGTTCCAACCTGCAGCGTGATCTTGAAGAGGCAGCGCGCTGCAGCAGGGATTTATAGGCTCAGGCTGCTCGCAGTGATCCACCTTCAGCTGCTGACGTTGGTAGGAATGTTAAACAGGCTGTTCATTCACAGAGGAGCGGAGAGGAGAGGAGGGAAAAGAAGGAGAGATCCGCAGCGCTGAATGGGTGTGTGTGCGTCAGAGCCGGAGCTGGCGCAGGTAACCAATCAGCGCAGATCCGCTGCTATTGGCGCAGATACAGCTCCGTGCATCGCTGCAGACTGCGCTCACCGCCGGCAGAAAAATGTCTTTAATCCTTTTTTTTTAACCTTCTTTTGATTTATTGAATAAATAAAGAATAAAAAAAGTTAAACCTAAATTAAATCTCTGATTTCTGTCCAAATGAATTAGAATTTTTCAGCAAATTGGCTCCAAAAACATTATATTCATTATTTTCATCCACCCTCCAATTTTCCGTCACGCTTATCCCAGGCGGGGTGGGGAGGGGTGCTGGTGCCCATCTCCAGCTGTCAGTGGGTGATAGGGGGGGTCACCCTGGACAGGCCTCCAGTCCATCGCAGGGAAACACAGAGAAAAACAACCATTCACTCACATCTAAGGAGAATTTAGAGAAGCCAATTAACCTAACAGTCATGTTTTTGGTTGGAAGAAGCCGGAGTACCCGGAGAGAACCCACGCATGTTCAGGGAGAACATGCAGAAAGACTCTGGGCCGGGAATCGAACCCGGAACATTCTGGCTGCAAGGCAGCATAGCTCCACTGAGCAGCCACAATTATAATATTATTATAAATAATATTAAATGATAATATTATTACATATTATTGATGTTTTTGTTGTTGTTATTTATTTATTTGGTCAATTGATAATTAATGAATTCCTTAATTGATGTGAGAAATGTTTCCTCTCAGGTTTGCGTTTCCAGGCTTCAATCCTGCAGAAATAGAAATAAAACCAGTTTGGCTGCAGGAGTAAAGCTCAGACTGAAGCAAACATCTTTTTACTGCGTCATTCTGGAGGAAATAGATTTAATTCATATTTTCTGCATCGGATCTAAATACTATCAGAATCAGAAGGAATTTAAATGACATGTTAAGGATATAAAATAACAAATAACGCGTTAAATTGATGCTTAAAGAGGACCGAAAAAAACACAATAATAATATTAATGGGTTTATGCTTTAGAATCCATTATGGCAGGATAAGGGGGGGCCTGAGGGGCCCCCGGTGATGCTGCTTCCTTAATGGAAGAGCAGAAGATTCAGACAGAATTCTGACTTTAATCTCATATTCTACTGATATAAAAATAAAAAATATATATTTTTCCAGTGGCCCTAATCCTCTTCCGTGTTTATTATATTAATAACTGTATTTTTTTCTCCCTCCTCCCTGCATGAACTCAGAGAAAACCTTTTTTTTTTTCATTTTGCAGCCTGATGTGTGACAGACTGACTGTCTGCAGGAAAATCCCCCAAAACTCAAACATCTCAGGTTTCCTTCAGATCAGCTTTAAGGTGAAACTAAATACCTCAGAAGATGGAGCCATTTTTTCCCGCAGTTATTTTAATATGTGTAATTATTATTATTATTATTATTATTATTATTATATTAATTATTGAAAAAGAAAACATTATTTTGTTAGATCAGGATCCATCTGTTTCCATATTTTCATATATTTTGTGTTTCCTGCAGAACATGTCAAACTAAAGTCCTTATTTTGTGTCTTTTTTATTGTTTTTTTTTCATCTTTCGACCTAACGGGGATTTTATTTTCATTTATTTATTCCAACTGATTTCGTTAATAAAACGAAAAATAATAAAATATTCGTTTAATTCTGATAATTATCCTTTTTTTTTCTTGTGCGCGTTCACCCTCCCTCCGGGAGGAGTGGGCATATATTTGCGTGGGCGGATCGTGGGACCTCCCACGGACCCACAGTGGCAGACTGGGATGTCTGCGGCCTTTAAGCGTCGGGCCGCCGCCCCTCCTGCAGAAAGCAGCATTATTAATTAATCAGTAGGCTTGTTCTTACAAGTTTTACAAGTTTGGGTATTTTATGTTTTATTTTACATCATTTTCTATTTATTTAATATTTTCAATTGTTAATCAAAAGACACATTTTATATACTAAAAAGCTTAGAAAATTAACTATTTAAATAGTTATTTTTCACTGCTTTAGTTCCTTTTTTCCCCAAAAAAATCATACTATGTGTTAAAATAAGTGGGTTAATTTCAGGAGCGCAGCTGAATAATATTAATGATGAACTTTTATATTTCTACCCTTAATATGCTTTTTTTTCTTCACGGTGACAGTTTTTTAGGGGGTTATGCTTTGATTTTTTGTTAATGAAATGTTTTTATCTTAATTGGATAAAACCTGCAGGCCTGCAGAGCTGCAGTTCAGCAGACTCTGAAAAATAAGGTTAAATATGAAAATAAAATCAATGTGGTTTTATTTTCAGTTAAGAAAATATTTATGGGCGTCATTTGAGAGAAAAATCATAATTCCAGAAAAGCTAATTCCACTTAAATGAAGATAAAAATGATGCCTTAGCCTCATCTTCCAATCTTTTAACACAATCTTCCTCCTCTTCCTCCTCTAACTCACCCATTCTCCTCCTCC